TGCGCAGCTACCTTGGCTTGCAGATCACCCGGGACAGAGCACAGCGCACCATTACCCTGACTCAGTCACACATGGTGCAGCAGGTCCTTCAGCACTTCGGCTTCACGTACTCCTCGCCTCAGGCCACTCCTCTGTCTACGCGCCACTCGCTCTCAGCTCTGCCTTCGGATGAGTCCGTAGAGTCGAGTGGCCCGTACCCAGAGCTTGTTGGCTGCCTCATGTACCTGATGACCTGCACTCGACCTGACCTTGCATACCCTCTTAGCATTCTGGCACGCTATGTTGCTCCTGGGAGACACAGACCAGAGCACATGGCTGCAGCGAAGAGGGTGTTGCGCTACTTGTGCAATACGTCGGGCATGGGGCTTGTGCTTGGAGGGCGGAGTCCAGTGGTCCTCACTGGTCACGCAGACGCTTCTTGGGCTGACGACCAGGCTACGCAGCGGTCGTCACAGGGTTACACTTTCAGCCTTGGTTCCGGCTCTGTTTCGTGGCGGTCTACTCGCTCGTCTTCTGTTCTCGGCTCCAGTTGTGAGGCTGAGATCTACGCAGGGGCCATGGCTGCACAGGAGCTACGCTGGCTCACCTACCTGCTGACTGACCTGGGAGAGCCGTCTCCTCCAGTGCTGTACGTAGACAACAAGGCCATGCTGGCCTTGTGTCGGGAGCACAGACTGGAGCACAGAACGAAGCACATCGCTCTTCGCTACTTCCTTGCTCGAGAGCTGCAGCAGCGTGGTCAGCTACGCCTTGCTTACGTGGCCTCTCAGGCCAACACTGCTGATATCTTCACTAATGCACTTGCGCCTTGTGATCATCAGCGCTTCTGTACTCAGTTAGGTCTTGTGCCTACCTTGCCTCACTTGCTCACTTCTTGACCTTGCTTGTACTGTTACATATATATATATACCTGCTCTTGCTTGTTTAGCATTATATATATGTAATCTTGCATGTGAACTGGCCTTGTGGCCTTGAACTTGTGCTCAGATTGTGTGGTGACGTTGTGATCCGCCCTGAGCTTGCTTTTTTTTGCTTTGCTTGACTGGTCTTGTGACCCCTTGTTCTCCCCCACTCTGCCTATGGGGGTGTGTCAAACTCATATACTATAGTCTGTGTAGGCTGTAGTGGGGTAGCTTACATGGGGTACAACATTTCTAGGGTTTGTACTTGTACCCAACATTTCCCTTAGTCAATTTCATTCCTCGTTTCTTCACATTTCAAGCTAGGACAGGGTTCATTTTATTATGTTTCGGTTTAAAGGAAGAGTGGGGGAGGAGGGGGAGAGAGAGGGGGGTAGAGACTAGGTGGGAGAGGGTGAATAGAAAGGGGAGGAGGGGAAGAGAGGAACGGTGTGGAAGTTGGGTTGAGCATGTATATTTCTTGGCGCAGTGGACTTGCTACATGCATTGCACCATGCAGTGATTCAATCAAGTGAAACTGCAGACGACATATGATTCGGTTGTGTCTTGCACTTTAGTGAGTCACTACGGGCATGGATTTGCGAACAGTAATCCCCCATATGCCTGTAGGGGCCCGACGGGATTAGATATCAAAACTGGGGGGCGTTTGTAGTCAAATAGAATCATCAAGCCAGTGCAGAGTATGAATGTACTCTGCATCGAATGTTCGAACATCAAACTTGGTGCCCAATCTGATGTCTGCGCAAGTATGACGAATGAGGTGCAAAGGAAAAGCCAGCCTCAACCTAAAAAATGCAAATTATACTCCCACATGAAGTAGGGGCCGGAAACAAAATGCTGACGGAGAGTGTAGGGTGCTTGTAGGGTGTAAAATATGCTTGAAACACAACCTTCCGATTAAACGCACCATAGTGTATTCATCCCGGAACTTGGGGTACTCCATTTGTGTCAAATGCTCCCCTCTCCCTTTTGCCTTCCTATCATTTCGAGCCTCCTAACAGTCTTTTCTCCCTGGATTTCATCACTCCAGCTGTCCGCCAGCATTGCCAGCCAGTTCCGGGCCTTGGTTAGCCACACTCAGCCATGTCAGGCCGGTCGCCCCTTTGCATGTTCAAGGGTCCCCCGATCTGCAAATACCACCATTCTCTCATACCGCCCACTCCACTCATACAACTCACTGCTCTAATCCCCCACTCCTCCCATAATCACTCCCCCTCCCCCCCACCCCCACCCCCACTCATACCCACTCAATCCACTCATACCCCTTTCTCCTCATTTCCTCACTCCAAATATACCACCCAATTGTTCCATACTTCTCACTCCTCCCATATCCCCCACTCCTCTCATAACCCACACTCGTCTCATAACCCCTATTCCACCCATAACACCCACTACTCTAATCGGCTGCACTTTTCGTATACTCACCACTCCACTCCTAACCCCCAGTTTCCACATACACGCCATTCCTCTCATAACGCACACTCCTCTCACACCACTGACTCCTCATAATCTTCAGTTATCTCATATCTCCCACTCCTTCCATATCTCCCACTCCTGTCATTCCCCCCATTCCTCCTCTTATACCCCCCACTCCTCCTATTACACTACCGAGTTTTCTTATACTTCTCACTCCTCCCATATCCCCAGTCCATTCATGCATCCCACTTCTCTAATACCCTCATTCTTCTAATACCCCACACTCCTCTCATACCCCACTCTCCTCTTATAACCCACACTCCTCCCCCACCCACCTCTCATACCCCACACTCCTCTCATAACCCTCACTCCTTTCATACCCCCCTCTCCTCTTATACTCCACACTCTCTCATACAACCCACTCCTCTTATACCCCCCCCTCCTCTCATTTTCCACACTCCTCTCGTAACCCCCAAACCTCTCATACCCACTCACTCCTCTTGTACCTCTCACTCCTCATACCTCCCACTCCTTTCCCCTAATTGCCATGCTCCCCACTCCACTCACATCCCCCACTCCCCTCATAAACTCCAGTCCTCTCATACCCCTCGCTCCTCGCATACCCCCCATTCGTCTCATACTCCCCATTTTTAGACACCCAATTTTCTCACAACACCCACTCCCATCAACCCAATCCTCTCGTACCCCCCAATCCTCTCATACCTCCTCTTCCTCTCGAACCTCCCATACCACAACTTATCTCAAAATCCCCACTCCGTTCACAACCTATTCCTCTCTCAGACACCATTCCTGTCATAAACCCCCACTCCCCTATCCACCACTCCACAACCCAAACACCCCCTATCACCCAACAATCCCCCCACTTCCCCCCATACCCCACTTCCATCATAACCCAACAATCCCCTCATACCTCCCATTCCTCTCAACCTCCAACTCCTCTCACCCAATTCTCCCCCTTCCTCCCCCCTTGTCTCTTTTCTCCACCTTTCCGCCCTGTCATCTCTCCTTCCTCTCCCCAGGGCGAGCGGGATGAGGGCCTGCCCTAAAACTCCCAATCTCCCATTCCCCCATGCCCCAACTTCCATGACCCATGCCCGACATGCCATGCCCCATACGCCATGCCCTTTGCACCAAGCTGCATGCCTCAGGCCCCACATGCCATGCCCCATGGCCCACACCCCATGGCCCACACCCCATGCCCCACGCCCCATGCCCATGCCCATGCTCAGTGCCCCAATGCCCCATGGTCCAACTTCCATGCGCCCATGCGCTCTCAGGCGAGCCATTGAAGGCCTGCTGGCAGTGATGATGGCGTGTGATGGGGAGAATCACCCCCATCTTTCCTACCCCAACCCCAGTCTCCCCTGCCTTTGAAGGTTGAGGGGGGAGGGGAAGTGGCGTGGGGCAAAGGGAGAGGAGATGGAGTGGAGGTGGCATGGGAGCAAGTCGCGCAGCTGAGGCAGATCCACATGGTGCTGCTCGAGACACTCAGGCTCTTCCCACCCACGCCTACCATCACCAATGAGGCCAGCAAGGTAAGGGACAGGCATAAACATAAACGATAGATGGAATGTGAGAAATGTTTCATCTTTATCGCTGCCTTGTGTCTTCTGTGTCCCATCCCCCTTCATACTTGCTCAGCCCCCCTGTGTCATCCATGCCAGCACGAGCATCATCATGCACCACACCCTTCCCATCCTTTCCTCATGCCTTCCCATACTCTCCCCCATGCCTTCTAATCCTTCCCCTATGCCTTCCCATCCTTTCCCCCATGCCTTCCCCCATGCCTTTCCCCATGCCTTCCCCCATGCCTTTCCCCATGCCTTTCCCCATGCCTTCCCCCATGCCTTCCCCCATGCCTTTCCCCATGCCTTTCCCCATGCCTTCCCCCATGCCTTTCCCCATGCCTTTCCCCATGCCTTTCCCCATGCCTTCCCCCATGCCTTTCCCCATGCCTTTCCCCATGCCTTCCCCCATGCCTTTCCCCATGCCTTCCCCCATGCCTTTCCCCATGCCTTTCCCCATGCCTTTCCCCATGCCTTCCCCCATGCCTTTCCCCATGCCTTCCCCCATGCCTTTCCCCGTGCCTTTCCCCATGCCTTCCTTCATGTCTTCCCCCATGCCTTTCCCCATGCCTTTCCCCATGCCTTCCCCCATGCCTTCCCCCATGCCTTTCCCCATGCCTTTCCCCATGCCTTCCTCCATGCCTTCCCCCATGCCTTTCCCCATGCCTTTCCCCATGCCTTCCCCCATGCCTTTCCCCATGCCTTCCCCCATGCCTTCCCCCATGCCTTTCCCTATGCCTTCCCCCATGCCTTCCCCCATGCCTTCCCCCATGCCTTCCCCCATGCCTTCTGCCATGCCTTTCCCCATGCATTCTTCAAGGACGTTTCACTAGGTCCCTACGCCATTCCAGCGGGCATGCGTGTCATTCGCCATGCCGCACTGAGACCCTTCTTCATTTCTGTTGCTGCATGTCACCCTTCCCCTTTCCCCATCTCCCATGCCTTCCATGACGTCTCCTAGGGTCCCTATGCCATCCCTGCTGGCACGCGCATAATGATGTCCCTTGCCATGCCGCACTGCGAACCGCGCTACCGGGGGGAGGATGTGCTTGAGTTCAATCCTGCACGCTTCAAGGGTATGCTCACACCCGCGCCTCATGCTGCCGCGCCTCATGCTGCCATGCCTCATGCTGCCGCGCCTCATGCTGCCGCGCCTCATGCTGCCGCGCCTCATGCTGCCGCACCTCATGCTGCCGCGCCTCATGCTGCCACGCCTCATGCTGCCGCGCCTCATGCTGCCGCGCCTCATGCTGCCGCACCTCATGCTGCCGCGCCTCATGCTGCCGCGCCTCATGCTGCCGCACCTCATGCTGCCGCACCTCATGCTGCCGCGCCTCATGCTGCCACGCCTCATGATGTCACGCCTTATGCTGCTTGCATTCAGGCCATCCATATGCTTCTAGGGGGTTGGAGGAGAGGGAGGGAGGGAGAAGAGAGGGGGGAGGGAGGGGGGGAAGTGGGACTTTACACAGTGCAGTTCAAATCCACGTGAGCTCTTAGAGTTGCATCTTGCATGTGCATGCATCTTAGGTAATTGTTTGTGCAGAATGAACTTTGTTTCATCTCGGCGCAGGTGGCGCATCGCAAGGTCCTCTCACTCCACATGGGTACCGACATGGTTCTCCATCCTGAGACTTTCTTGCTCGCAAACCTCCCATCTTGCTTAGGCTCCTCCCACTGCCCTTCGTCCCATCACTACTCATCCTCCTCCCGCTGTACTTCATTCCCTCACTCCCCTTCATTCTCCCATTGCACTTCATCAGCCCACTGCCCATCCTCACCTTGCCATGAGTCCCCACAGACGGCATACAGGGAGCATGCTCGCATCCACAGGCCTTTGTGCCATCCTCAGCGGGCCCTGGGGACTGCATAGGCTCCAACTTTGCTCTCACAGAGGCCAAGGTTGTCCTTGCGCATTTGCTCGGCCTCCTCAAGTGGGACCTCTCGCCCACATATGTACACATGCCTAGTGTGGGAATCACACTTACCCCTAAATATGGGATGCCTTTACGTATGAGGTTGGTGGAGTAGCCTATGATTGATTATGCACGTAGCAATCTGTCACTTGCTGATGTATTAAAGTGCTTCGTATTATGTACATTACTCTTAAACCCCAAACATAAAGGATGCAATGACATGATAGCTAGATGTCACACTTTCGCATATAGAATGCTAACTAACTGATACATTCATCCCCCGCAACTAGGACCCTAGAGAATTTCTTGAAGTTCAGAGAAAAGTGGAAATCAGGGGGGGTAAAATACCCTTTTTGCACTGACTGGCAGCCGCTTTTTTTTTCAGTTACCCTTTCACAGGCAGGGTAGTGGATTTTTTACCCTAGGCCAGAAAGTGTAAGTTTTTTTGTACCCTTTGAAAAACAGCGAAAGGAACTTCTGTACAGTGTACAATCACAGTTATACTGATACTGAATGCTCCGTAGCACTATGCGTGCTCCTGCAAAATGCTCCCAATAGAGACTCGATCCTGCGACCTTTCAGATAGAATTCGTAATCTAACCATTCTTCATTTACAGAGTTTATATGTACAATATGTACAAAGATATGAGTCCCTAGTTAGGAACAAGAAAGAGTAGGAATGACATGAGTTTGGAAAAGGGTAAAGAAGGGTTTTCAAGTCAAAACTAAAAGCTGAGGTGGTGGTGCTGTTCAGAAATTGAACCCATCACTAAAACCTCTCTGGTTTTTTACCTACCCCCTCACGCAAGGGGGTTGAAGAGGTATGCCAAATCCGGGACGTCGTAGGTGAAGGCAGGAAAGTCGGAGAAGGAAGGATCTTGTGTGGTGTTGGTGTCGATGGTGGACGGGAAAGCTGCTTCTACCCTGTGACGAATCGATCTCGCTTGAGCACGCTGTAGCGCCATCGAAATGCGTAGAAAAAATGAACTCTCGAATGCTCCTGAAAGTACCGCATCTGTCTGCTGCACCACGGTCCATCCAGCGAGCTGCTGCACGACGGCTACAGTCACGTAGGAACGTCTTGAAAGCGGGGCCAAAGCAACCAAAAGTCTCCAAGGTCAGTGGCACGAGCTTGACTAAACATCTGGGCACTAACCATCTGGGCACTAAGTACTGTACCTGGGTCTTTTGGCAGTTTGTATAATTGTTAAACAATTATTTCCCTGACCAAACAGACTTCTAGTTTTTTTACCCTGCATTTGTCAGGGAAAAAAAAAATACCCTACGCATCAGGGTTGACTATACCTAGAACCCTGATCACTATGGGTGGCCCAAAATGAATCTGAAGCCCCGGTGGAAATGTTACATTATCTGTGATGAACTCTATGAACTATAGTGAGAAGCATATTAATTCATGCCTATATGTAGTAGTCAATTTTCGACATTGAATATCAGGAAAATGATTATGCGTATATTGTGAAAAACGAGGAATGGTGTGACTAGCAAGAATGGGAGTACAAATATGAAACCCTAGAATTGTGTACCCCCTAAGGCTAAACCCACTGTAGCCTACAAAGCTACAACATATATAATGTTTGACACACCCCCATAGGCAAAGTGGGGGACAACAAGGGGTCACAAGACCAGTCAAGCAAAGCAAAGCAAAGCAAAGCAAGCTCAGGGTGGATCTCAATGTCACCACACAGTCTGAGCACAAGTTCAAGGCCACAAGGCCAGTTCACATGCAAGATTACATATATATAATGCTAAACAAGCAAGAGCAGGTATATATATATGTAACAGTACAAGCAAGGTCAAGAGGCGAGCAAGTGAGGCAAGGTAGGCACAAGACCTAACTGAGTACAGAAGCGCTGATGATCACAAGGCGCGAGTGCCTTAGTGAAGATATCAGCAGTGTTGGCCTGAGAGGCCACGTAAGCAAGGCGCAGCTGACCACGCTGCTGCAGCTCACGAGCAAGGAAGTACCGAAGGGCGATGTGCTTCGTTCTGTGCTCCAGTCTGTGCTCCCGACACAAGGCCAGCATGGCCTTGTTGTCTACGTACAGCACTGGAGGAGAACGAGGCGGCTCTCCCAGGTCAGTCAGCAGGTAGGTGAGCTAGCGTAGCTCCTGTGCAGCCATGGCCCCTGCGTAGATCTCAGCCTCACAACTGGAGCCGAGAACAGAAGACGAGCGGGTAGACCGCCACGAAACAGAGCCGGAACCAAGGCTGAAAGTGTAACCCTGTGACGACCGCTGCGTAGCCTGGTCGTCAGCCCAAGAAGCGTCTGCGTGAACGCCCCATGCCCGACGTACTGCACAAGTAGCGCAACACCCTCTTCGCTGCAGCCATGTGCTCTGGTCTGTGTCTCCCAGGAGCAACATAGCGTGCCAGAATGCTAAGAGGGTATGCAAGGTCAGGTCGAGTGCAGGTCATCAGGTACATGAGGCAGCCAACAAGCTCTGGGTACGGGCCACTCGACTCTACGGACTCATCCGAAGGCAGAGCTGAGAGCGAGTGGCGCGTAGACAGAGGAGTGGCCTGAGGCGAGGAGTACGTGAAGCCGAAGCGCTGAAGGACCTGCTGCACCATGTGTGACTGGGTCAGGGTAATGGTGCGCTGTGCTCTGTCCCGGGTGATCTGCAAGCCAAGGTAGCTGCGCAGTTCACCCAGGTCTGTGCACGTGTGTCTCTTCTGCAGCTCCGACTTCACGTAGGCGAGTCCAGCAGTGTCAGCTGTAGCAAAGACCAAGTCGTCGACGTACATGAGGATGTAGAACGGCGGCAAAGAAGTGTCAGTGCGCAGAAACAGTGACGGGTCGGCAGTAGAAGGAGCAAACCCAAGAGCCGCAAGTGTAGTCCTCAGCGTGTCGTGCCACTCACGAGGTGCCTGGCGGAGACCGTAGACTGGTCGCCGGAGGCTCCACTGGGTGCCAGGAGGAAAAGTCCCAGTGAAGCCAGGTGGGCGGCGCAGCCAGATCTCCTCGTGTAGGCTGCCCTGCAAGAAGGCAGTGCTGAAGTCCAGAGAGTGCAGCTCGTAGTCTCGGTGAGCGGCTATGTGCAGCAGTACCCGAAGAGTGGTCATCTTCGGGGTGGGAGAGAAGGTCTGAAAGTAGTCAACTCCCTGCCGCTGACTGAAGCCACGAGCCACGTAACGCGCCTTGAAGACAGGCGGAAAACCCGGCGGCCGCTTCACCCTGAAAATCCACATGCCACTGACGATGTTCGCCCCAGGCGGGGGAACCTCGTCAACGTAGGTGCCTGTGGACTTCCAGGAAGCCATCTCTGCGTCCATGGCTGCCTGCCACTGAGAGGAGTAGGGACCCTCTATCGCCTCCGCGTAAGAGCGCGGAGTCGGGATGTCAAGTGCATCCGGGTCTCCCTCAGGGGCAAGCAGCACGGACACGAGATGAGGTGAAGCAGCAGCCAAGCACTGGAACTCCTCCTGCCTGTCCTCAAGGACGTCCGTGCCAAGAGCACACTCACCCCTGACGGACGGAGGACAGACAGACTCAGACTCAGCGACGAGACTGGCAGCGTAGTCAAGGCGACAGCGAGCAGCGAAGTCGACAAGCTCAGCAACTAGGGCAGACGCAGCAGTAGACTCAAAGGAAGGGTCAGTGACGACAGTAGCAAGGAGACGCGTGACAGTAGGACGCGCAGCACGAAGGGAGTCCGACTCCGGGTCAGGAAGCGCAGGAAGAGAGGACTCGGGAGGAGAAGGCAAAGGGGCACGCAGTGGAGCAGTGGAAGGACGCAGAGTCATCCGGTGCGTGCCGGGGACAGGGGGAGGACGCTGACGCGAACCACGACCACTAGTGCGAGCAGCACGGACAGGCGACGCAGGGCGAGACGCAGGCTCACGACGCTCAGCAAGACCTCCAGTAGGACCAGTGTAGGGAGAAGGAGAAGGAAGCGGGGAGGCTGGCTATAACAGTGACTCAGACTGGACAGGAGGCGGACACTCGAAGCGAGGAGCAGGACCAAGAGAGGACGGAAGACCAAGAACCTGCTCAAGGAGCGGAACGAAGTACGGCCGGGGCCGCGCAGCGCCACCAGCGCCAGCAGGAACAGCACCAGCACCACCAACGGCAGCACCAGCACCAGGAGTACCCCCAGCTCCAGCAGCGCCAACTCCAGCACCCCCAGCAGCACCAGCTCCAGCAGCACCTCCAGTGCCAGCACCCTTAGGAGCTCCAGCTCCAGTCAGACCACCAGAAGACGCAGCAGCTCCAGCTCCAGGAGCACCAGCAGCAGCAGCGTCAGCAGCACCAGTAGGCCCAGCAGCTCCAGTACACCCTGTACGAGCACCTCCGGGACCCGCTGCACCAGCACCCTCAGCAGCAGCAGAACCTCCAGCGTCCGCAGCAGCGCCAGCTCCAGCAGCACGCCTCCAGCGCCGGGCAAACCACTCACGCAGCTCCTGCGGAGAGAGTAGCTCACGCCGTGCCGAAGCACCCGAAGAACCTCCAGGCTCAGCACCCTCAGGCGCCGGACTCCGAGACACAGCGCCCTCAGGCTCAGCACCCCCAGGCGCAGCACCCCCAGGCTCAGCACCCCCAAGCTCAGCACCCCCAGGCGTAGCACCCCCAGGCCCAGCACCCCCAGGCTCAGCACCCCCAAGCTCAGCACCCCCAGTCGCAGCACCCCCAGACCCAGCACCCCCAGACGCAGCACCACCAGCAGTACCAGAGTCAACAGCTACCTCGACAGGCTCGACCGCATCTACCTGGGACACACCTGAGGGGGCAGGACCCTGAGGGGGGAGGGGGTCTACCGGAGGGGGACCTGGCGTAAGGAAGAGCGGAGGGCGAGGGAGGGACGCAGTGCGGTAGGGGAAGAGACGGTAGTAGGGAACCGACTCGTCAAAGGTGACGTCCTAGGAGGACAGGACACGGCGCGAGGTGGGGTGGTAGAACTGCCAGCCTGGCGCGTCAGGAGGGAAGCCAAGGAAGACGCAGGGAACAGCACGCTGGGACAGCTTGTCCGCAGACAAGTCGCGGACAAACGCCCGAGATCCCCAGACACGGAACGCAGACGCATCGCCAACCTTCCCCGTCCACAGTAAAGCAGGGGAGGTCTCCGGCATGGAGACCCGGGGGTGAAGGTTGATCTG